CCTACAACCCCTTTTATTCAACTGTCCCACCTCCCAGTACTTGATTCTATTGCTGTAATGATCATCCCAGCACGAGATGTTATGCCATTTTACAAAGATGAGACAAGGACCCTACACAGTGGGTGGGCCAGAAGCAGTTGCCCAGGTCCTCTTGGAATCTTCTACTCCCCCTTGCACTACCTGGAAGGAAAAACAGGTGTTCTAAATACTTGTACATAATTATAGCCTTCTGGCAAGAAAATATAATCTCTAATTTTGGGGTAGTTCAGAGATCCTCTAGATAAAGCAAGAAGTTTCTCCTCAAAGAAAAAGTGAAGAATCAGGGAAACACTTGTCCTACCATACTCCTATTATCTGCAGTGAAATTAATTCCATGATGACAACACTTGAAGAGGCTTTTGCTAGCCGGATTCAGAATGGCACCTATGAATTTCAGTTAAAATAATTACTGAAAAAGAGGTCTGTAAAGAACATTAGAACAAACGCAAGATCTCTATGGTATAAGAGTAACACAAGTCTAAAAAGATTAATTTACAAGGATATATATGGACTTGACAACAGCTATGTACAGAGCAAGAAGATCATTAACCCCAGCAGTGGTATCATTAGATAAGCACATATTTTCTAACCACATGACTGCAACATTTATGGAGATAGTGGTATGAAGACAATACTCTGATACTATGTTTATGTATCACCTGTCAAATACCAGCAATAAATCCTGCTGCCCAAAGCTTATCTGTAGTTGCCTAACAAGCATTTCTCACAGACTGCATATAACCAGTAAATGCGGCACATTTGGGAATATTTCAGGTTAGCCACATGAGACAACTGGGTAGAAAGAAAACATTGTTCAGATGCATATCATGCATTTACACATGGAACAATTATTTTTAAAAAGCTGTTTTTATAACTTAAGCATGCACATAAAGTGAAAAAAGTAAGAATGACAAGGGGAAGAAAGGAAAAAATAGAAGGCATTAAAAAACATCATCATGAACAAATAGAGGTTACCTGGGTTGAAAACCTTTCCTGTGACACCTCAAGTTTAAATGTTTCATTTGCAAGCCTATCCGTCTTTTCAGATCATATGCTACAATTTTTGCTATAAAAATAAGAACTACCAGGGAAAAATTAAAAAATATGATACTTAATAGACATTAATATCTTCATCCACTGAAAGTACACACCTACACCTTTTGCCCTTTGCAAAAAAACCAGTAGAAGTTTGGCTGCTGGAAAGAAGTTAACCTGGATCAAAGCTGAAATAAAACTTTGAATCAGTAATAAATAATCTCCCCTTTCTGCTCTGCATTTTGTATTTCGCTGAAGTAAGAGACTTCAAGAAAAAAAATAATTCGTGAATAGTGATTATGCACAGGTCAGCCAATTTTCTTTTAACTTATCAACTGATAAACAGTTATTAGGAAACATCTGTTACAGTAGAATAATATTTCATACAAACAAACCATAAAAATCACATTCGCTCTTTGTCCAGAAGTACACAATTTGCTTGCAAGCATTTTCCACTGCTTTCAGTAGCATATTTTCCCCAGTATCTGCAAAGTATTTTTACTCCAAAAGGAAAAAAAAAAAAATCTAAAACCTTCCATACCTTTCAGACTCTCAAGGTCCAGCCTTTTAATTTCTTTAAGTTACACTCAGTAACTGGACATTATGCTGTAACCATAAGGGGATAGAATGTGCCACAGTATTAGCTGTATTTTACCATGCAGGAACTCAGCACATCACATCAATACAGAGAGACTGAACTGTACCACAACAAATACCATCTGTGGCACCAGAAAGTGCTATAGTGACTTCAGAAGAAGCAAGTATGGGTGAAAGCACACTGATGCTGACATGGAATATGAATTGCTTGCTACTACACTTCTGCCATTTCTCCTTCATGTGCCACACTCTTGTTTTCAATGCTAAAATATCTGTTCCACCAGCTGTCTCTGCAGCAGGGCTGACAGCTCCTAAGGCATGTCCAGTGCCACCACAAATATAACACATCCCCCTTGCAGGTCAGAAAAGTGAATCTCCTCTAAATACAAGGGTTAACTCCTTTTTGGTCTGAGGCCACATCAGGATGTATTGGTCAAGATCACCATTCGGAAGGTTTTTTCTGTCCAGAAATTTTTTATTTGCTTGGGAGGAACTCCACATAATGAGAAACTTTCGGCACATCACTGTTTTGGGTCTGCATAACAACAGTGCCCACCTTACACACAGTGTTACCTCTGTGGTCATAAAACTCACATAGATCTACTGCAAACTTTGTAAATATATAATTATCACTAAACATGTCAGAGAAGCCCATTTTCTAAATCAGTATGAACGTACTTAACTCTTTTTGTATAATGTCCCTGAATCGCTGCCAGATAAACAGAGACTTCCCAGTTTCTAAGCCTGAAATAATTAAGAACAACTAATTGAACAACAAAAAAAACCAACCCAAAATACTTCTACAGCCTCAATCTTTCAGAAGCACCTATCCTCCAGGGACATCTTTATGACAGCAGCAGAAGCATATCAAGCTTCAAGTCCATCTCTAAACTGAACAACACTTTAAGTGTATCTCCAGGAAGTATGGTTACTGTACACACACACTCTACACACACATCTCTGCCTCCTGAACTTTGGAAAACACAAAAAGATTCCATGAGCCTCTATAACTGTGCTAGCGCTTTTTTTTCAAATAGAGGTCAGCATGAGCTCTGTTGGTTGTATATTTTTCCCTGGAAGTACATGAAGGGAATGAAACTCCACCATATCCACACACACTTATGCACAACATTTTCTAAAAACAAATCTTCAACGATTCAACTTCTGGAAAGCTCACTTCTTGCTGAATCAAAACTATGATTCTCCTCTTCTTCAGCTGAACAATCCCCAGTACAACTTCTCATTAGTCAAATCAAAGTTACTTGGCTTGTGAGCTAACTCACAGTTACACGAACACAACAGGTTCTCAGAAGGATCCAGATACTAGTTAAATAGGACTGGCAAACAAATTTCAACTTTGTTTCCAGCCAGCAAACGCTTCAACAGTTTTCTAGTCTAAGACAAAGCATTTCAAGTTTTTTTGCCTACCCCTGGTCTTTTCAGCCTCCTGACGCCCAGGCTAGTATTGCTGAAGATTGTAGCCTACAGCGTAACAGACCTCCCAGCTTTCCTCTGCATCACACCTACTGAACAGCAAGAATTGACAGCTAAAAAAATGTCATAATGTCATAGCAAGTGAGACTTCTCCATTCATCACACTGGTTAAGACTGACCTTGCTTCTAAAACTGTAGCTGATTCAGGACTGAAAGATTAAACTTCTGGGGTCAAAACAGACAGTCAGTTCGTCAGCTGGTGAACATGCACTGTCTCTGAGATCAAGCTTTCTATGCCCTGTCTTGGGCTCCTAGTTCTGTTCTCAAAAGAAAACTCAGATACAGATCTTGCATACCTGAAGAACTTGATTAGGTTCATTGGCATAATTCTGCGTGGGGGATCAGGATCCAAGTCTTGAAGTCAGAAGGTCTAGAGAAGGTCTGGGAATTATGCCTCACTTGTAATGTGAAGTCACTGATGTGATTACACCATTCAGGATAAAGGACACTTAGAAGACACTTTGATTCCCAGTGCTCTCTGACAAGCAAGTTATTTCTGGCAACAGATTTCACTCTGATACATACTTTGGGAATACACCTGCTTAGAGATCAGGGATAGAACAGCTGAGGAAAAAAAAAAAAACCAAACCAAAAAAACCTCCAAAACCCACAGACCTTCTCAGTGTTTCTTTCCAGAGAAAGAGCTAGCTGCTGGTAACTTGTTCGCCTTTTTCCTGGAGGCTAAGATTAAATTTTTCTGAAAAACAGTTCTTTGGGAAGAGGAATCATCTCAGATTAGGAGAAAGTTAACTTTTTAAATTTCTTTTGAGGAGAAAGCCCCACAGTTTTTAGATTCTTATTTTGCAGATGCTTAACTTCTCAAACACTATCCTTGGGACTGCCAAGACCCATGTGAATTGGGAGGTCAGTATGGAAACAGACAGCTGTTTGACTCCAGTAACATTTTCACGTGATGGTCATTGCCACGGCATACAAGAAACTAAAACAACTGAGATCTCCACAGGAAGCCAAAGACCAATGCAGGAGATGAACCTTTAACCCTCTATGCCCCCAGTCACATCAGAGGCTGGGAAGGTCAGCAGCCCTGGGGGAGTGCAGAGAGTCCTCCGGCCCATGGGAAGCCCTCTGACTTCCCTAACCTTCCACCAGGCCGACAGCCTTTGGCACCCAGCAAGGCCTCCTCTTCCTCATGGAGAACATTAAGCACTTTCGATATGTACACCTGCTCAATTTTTACAGTACCTCCTAGGTTAAAAAGCAGAAGTTTCAGTATGGGTATTGCCACAATGGGCAAGGACCATGGTGGGGAACCATGCCAAGGCAGGTGACCGACCACCGCCTTGCCTTGTCCCATCTCTGTGTGGGACAGAAGTCACACTGAACTCCCATTTTACTGCCTCGTGCCTGTATCAGACTTTGTGAACTTCTGGAAAAGCTCTGGGTTTTCTTGGCACCCAGAGGACAGGATCACAGCTTCCCACTGGAGCCCATGCACATTGCCGTAAGCGATAAAACACAGCTGCTGTACTTCAGAAAGATTTCCAGGCTGCTGCGTGAAATCACTAGAAGCAGTATTTATACGCGTTGCTCCTAAAGTATAACTTCGGAGTTCAACGCTGTGCTCGGGTGCGGACCTCGGCTGAGCGGGGGTGTTCGCGCTCCATTTAAGCCTGGCCGCGGAGCCCCTTTGGCGACTCTTCCCGGGGCACTTCGAGGCCCGCGCCCCCCAGAGCGCGGCGCCACCGCGCCGAGGGCTCGCCCCGCCGCCCCCGGGCCGCGGTTCCGCCGAGCGACTCCCGGGGGCCGCCTCCGCTCCCCCCGGGCGGAGCCGCGCCCTGGCGGGTCCCCCCCGTCCCGGCGCGGGCAGTACTCACAGCCGCGGACCGCCCCTGCTCTCCCGCCTGCCGGCGGCCCGCACAGCCCTCGGCTCCTCCGCATCGCACCGCGGCTCAGTCATGAGCACCATCGGCACGGCAGCACCCTGTCGCCCCACAGCACTCCGCCGGCGGCGGGACGGGCCTCCCCGCTCCGCTCCGCCCTCGTCGCCCCGCCCCCGCGCTCGGCCGGCTGGGGCCGGAGCCCGAGCCGCCAAAAACCGGTCGATCCACCCGGCCGGGGGCTCTGTGCCGGCCCGGGCCGCGGCCGAGAGCTCCGGGAGCGCTGCCGCCCCACGCTCCCCTCGCAGCCTATCCTTTACGAGCCTTAAATTATTCAGTCGGGATGCTGTGTCGCGTGAGACGCCGCCTCCCGCCGCTCCAACAAAAGCCGTCCTTAATGTTTTATACGGGGGGACAGGAGATACGCGCTTTCACACAGGCGCGGTCCCGGGGGAGAAGGCGGCGGTGAGCGCGGCCCCGGTTTCTGTCAGCGTATTTCCCCGGTGACTCCTGGAAGCAGGCAGTAGCCCAAATATCGATGCTGGCCTCTGGACGGCTTGTACTAACGTGAACTTCTGAGGTGACTAGCTGATATTTCCATTTGTGGCAGCCTCAAGTGGTTTTGGTTCCTTTATCATGAGCAGCACCCCAGGCTGGTTCGTCTGCCCAGAAAATCACAGAATCACAGAATAGATCAAGTTGGAAGGGACCACAGTGGGTCCAACCTCCATGCTTAAGTAGGGTCATCCTAGAGCACACAGCACTGGATTGTGTCCAGACGATTCTTGTATTTTTCCAGGGAGACTCCACAGCCTCCCTGGGCAACCCCACAGTAAAGAAGTTCTTCCTCATAGTTGGGTGGAACTTCCTGTGCATCAGTTTCTGTCTGTTGCCCCTTGTCCTATTGCTTGGCATCACTCAGCTTGTCTATGAAGATGTTGTGAGGGACAGTGTTGAAAGCTTTGCTGAAGTTGAAGTAGACACTATCCACTACTCTCCTCTCATCCATCCAGGTAGTTGTTTCATTGTAGAAGGCAACCAAGTTGGTTAAGGATGATTTCCCTTCAGTGAATACATGCTGACTACTCCTGATCACCGTCTTGTCATCCATGTAAGTAGACATGGCCTCCAGGATGTGATGTCCAATCACCTTTCCAGGACTGAGGTGAGGCTGACTGGCCAGTGGTTCCCTGGGTTCTCCTTCTTGTTCTGTTTGAACACTGTGGTGACATTTGCATTCTTCCAGTCCTCAGGCACCTTTCCTGATCTCCATGGCCTTTCAAAGATGATGATGGTCAGCAGTCTAGTTATATTGTCTGCCAGCTCTTTCAGCACTTATGGATGTATCCTGTCAGGGTCTGTGGACTTGTGGATGTCAAATTTCCCTAGGTGTTCTCTAAGTAGTTCCTCCTTGACCAAGGGAAAGTCTTCCTTCCAGCATTCTTTTACCCAGGTCCACTCAGAGATCCCTGAAGGCTGGTCTTGCCAGTGAAGACAAGTGCGAAGAAGGTGCACAGGAGCTCTGCCTTCTTTGCATCCTCTGTTACCAGGGTCCCTTTTTATTAACATGCCCATATTATCCTTAGTTTTCCTTTTGTTATTGATGTATTTGTAGACACCCTTCTTGTTGTCCTTGACATCCTTGGACAGATTTAATTCTAGATGGGTCTTAGCCTTCCTTGTCTCATTTCTAGTAACTCTGAAAAAATGACCTAATATTGTGCAAAAAAGATCAAGTATGACCTACCCTGGCCTTCCCTTGGCTTGTGCTGGTGGAGGTGTGGGGCAAGTTTGTGCCCTCAGGAAGGTTAAATTTAAGGAAGCATTTGGCACAAGTCATCTTGCATGGCAGACACAAACTGTGAACATGCATATGAAAAATGTTTTCACTGCCTGCTTAATACCCAAGTCAGGTTTTAGTTTGGTGAACTAATATTTTCATAAAGTTAAGATGGAGTTTGTGGTTGTAAGGATACAGTCTAAAGAGTACCAATCTTGGGAATGAAAGTTCATGGTAACAGCTCTATAAAAAGGTCTATTTTCATGTTTAATGTGTTAGAATATGTTAATAGAATTAATAATATACTATATTGGTTTCTTCCTAACAGCCAACTGTTCACATGAGGTAACGGGAGAATATGTACACGATAATGGCTTCCGTTGGTGAATATCTGTGTAGGAGATAGATGCTAACATACATTTCAGATTAAAAAATGTAAGAAGAAAATTAATCACCTCTGAGTGGCATTGTTAGGATTACTTGAATACTTAGTCTTTTGGAGGTGCAAGAAATGAATTTTAGGTATTGCAATACATTCAGGAAATCAGTGAAAAGAAAGGTGTTAATGGTGAAGATGTTCAGGACTGCCATAGTTTCTTGGGCACACAGCAAATGTGAGATTGCTGTATGATCTTATCTAGGCTGTCGGTTTAATTAGCTCCAGTTCAAGAAAATGCGAAGACTGTAAACCAAGCTGGATAGAAAGGAAGACATTTAAAATGGCTGTATTTCTGGGAAACACCATTAGCTAATGTTTATGTATTGTTTAACATAAAAGTCAAGGCATATGTGGAAAAAAATGAGGTGTAATTTACAAGAAAGATTATTCAGACTTGTTAGGTCCTGCACCTGTGAAACATTGATTGCTTCATTATGCTTCCCTGTGGAGCACCTGAGCGAACTTGGCACTGCTTTACAGAGCCTCTCCCACTCTCTTATGCCAGACACAACCTGTGGCTGTATACCAGCATCTCATTTATCTAAAGATAACAGAATAGGAGCCATTTTATCTGTCTGGACTGTGAGTAGAATTGGAACTGAAAGGATTAGGCAAGGCAGGGTTGGAATCCCGTGTCTGTTCAGGCTCAGAACCCTTTTCTGCAGTGCAGCAACCCGTGTGAGGTTTTGTGTTCCCCTCGGATTTTTCTCATATAAGGGTGTACTAGACATGCACGGGATAATTAGAATCAGCAGGAAAAGTGACTGCCTACCCCTCATCTTGTTTTTGGAGGCTTCTCACTGCACTAAAAATGTATCTGCTGCTAATTTAGTCCTAATTATGAGGCAGACTTGTGGTTGAATGACTCCTGTGTAAGGAGGATATGCACTTCAGCAGAACAGTGGTGGTTTCTGTAAGTGAGAATCTGACCTTTAGATATTTGAATAAATAAAATCTGCTGTCTTTTGAATGCTTAGATTTTCAGTCTGGCAGATTTAGCTACAGGAGATAAATGCTGTTTTGTTCACTCATCTCCAGAGGTTCCTATCTCTACCTCAGTGGTGCAAGAACTAGAAAGGAGTTGCTTGATCCCCTGGAGCTCAGTCTCTGTTTTGGTTTCGTCTGATTCCATTCTCAAGGTGTGCAGAGCTCTCTGATTTAAATAAATCAGTCAAGTTATTTAGTGTAGAAGAAACTTACTCTCAAATAAATTGATACCTGGAGCCTAAACGCTAAAAAATTAATCCTGGCTTAATACTTTCTTCCATATCATGATACATTAACTCTTGTCAGAGAGTTGGTTCTGGCAAATTGCCAATACATGCCTCCTTAGAGCAGTTTGCTATCATTTGATAATGACAGTGGAAGTAATGAGCAATGACCATAACTTGTGATTTTTTTGGAGGATTTGAAAAAGAAACTGTGGCCAAGCTCTGTCAAACTGTACGTGACACAGCAACTCCAGAGTAAGAGGACACACTCCTGAGTGATAAAAGTTCTGAATGCCAGGATTCCCAGTAATATGCAGTGAGGAGTGCTCTATATGAAACAATCAAATCTGCAGCTGCTCATGTTGGTGGAATATACTTGAAAACTATATGCTTTTATTTTGATCAAGTCTTACAAACACACACAAAAAGTGCAGAGAAGCTTTTACTGTGATAATTGTTCATTTATATAGATAAGGTAAAGCAAGTATTTGAAGACCAACCTGTCACTAGCAGAGACCCATTGTTGTGCGAAAATGTGGGCTAGGTTTTTCTTTAGTTGATGAAATGCAGACTGGGGAGAGAAAGAGAAAGCAGTGTACTCTAAAATTACTGATTCCTGTTTAGTACTTGCAGTACTAGTGATGCCATGTAGGCAAAAACTGATATGGTCCTGCTCTGAAGAGTACATAAAATCTCAGAGAAGGTTGGGCGTTTTCAGTAGTTGGGACCTTCAACATTATGTGTAATATAGCAAAGGATGAAAAATTAGAGGTGAAACAATGTCACTATAGAAGATTTCAGATACATATTAAATCACAGAAAAGCAGAATGGGGAGAGACTCACAGAGTCATCGAGTTCATTCCCTGTCCCAAAGTAAGACCTGCTATTCTTGTGTTACTCCTGACAAGACTCTTGTCTAAATTGTTCTTAAAAGTCAACAATGCGTCCAGGCAATCGATTCCAATATTTGCTATCATCCGGGAGACATCCTCAAACCCTAACGTGGTCCTGAATCCTTGTTGCTGAAATTTAAAACCATTACTTCTTAATTTATTCAATATGAAGAACAGTGAAAAACTGTCTCCAGTTTGCCTTCATTTTCATCTTATCTTTAGTCTCAGGTAAAACATACAAATTGTTTTCCTATGAACTGTGTCTGATAGGTTCAGATCTTTTCTGAAGTGCCTTGCCCCAGGCTGGGCACCAGTAGCCTTACAAAGGCTGCATAGAGAGGAGATTAAGAGATTACTCATCTGTCGTATACACAGTACCATTGGTCATATTTCATAGTAAAATGTTTATGTGTTTCACAACAGGGTGAGGGTGGCTAAGGTTTAGTGTTCAACCACTGTGACCCAGTGAAGCTTTCATAAAGGACAGCTGAGATGTTGTTCTCTTCTAGTATATTAACATCAGTTTTCTAGATTTGACTAAGTATGACTGTCTATGTATCCTTTGTATATTTTGCTCTGTTTTTTTTTTTCCAGTCTGTTTCTTCAATTTATCAGAATAATTATGAATCCTATCTTGAATAATATGAAGAAAGAAAGAATAAAAGAGCCTAATGGGGCACACTGGAAAGGTCTGTATAAAAAGCAGTAGAACTGCTACCCAGGCCTAGAGATTCTTGGATAGGATATTGCTGTTGAACAATAAAAACGGCAATCTAGCTGGAAATAAAGAGGGTTAGAGATTGTCTTAATCAACAAGGTTTATTTCAGTAC